CACTTGGGGTCAAAGTCCCACCCACGCTGACGCTTGTCCGCGCAATGGGTATCGCCTCTGGGGGAGGAACGCTTCCCCCTGGCCTTCCAATCTGCGTCGGTCCAAGTGTCTCGCCGGTGCCCCCACGCGTCCCAGGACTGCCAGGAGCGCCAGGGGGTTGCAGATCCAGATGGCCCTGTCCGCGCGGCTCTGCCCCCGGATGCCCGCGGGGGGTTCTTTGCAGCCTCCTGGCCCTGATCGGTTCACAGGTGTTTGCCTCCGCTTCCGATGGGGGGTTCCACTGCGCGTCCTCTACTGTCGCGTTGCGTGTGCTTGCGCTGCTTCTCCATGACGTTTGGCCAGTCGACGTGGAGCTGGCATTCACTGCCGATTCTGTAGGCGTCGTATCCCACCGAGCTCCATGCCTGGAGGAAGTCGTCGCACTGCTGTGGCGTGTCTCGCCAGGGGTCAGACTTGATGTTGACCCAGGAGCCCCCTTGCTTGCGGGCCGCCTTTCTGACCCAGGCGCTCCACGCCCCGTTGAAAGCACCGCCGAGCATCCTCTGCATTCGCGCGATCTTTTCTGGCGCGGGCTCGTCCCTTGTGACGTCTGCCTGGCCGAAGGGTCTCAGGCGCATGGGGAGGCCACCCATGGGGTCGTCTCGGCGAGCAGGTGGGATTGCTGCTGTCCGCGCGTCGTGCCGCCATCCCTGTGAGCTGTGGCGCTGCATGGGTGAGCTGTGGGGTGGTGCGACTGGGTGTTCCCTGTTGCGGTCTTCGGCGACGGTGGGTGGTCGGCGGCTTGGTTCGCTCCCCGATTGTCTGAGTGACCGGCCGTTACCGATGCGAACGTTCCAGGTTCGTCCCTCACTACGTGGGTCTTCGCCCCTCCCCCATGCGTCGCGCGGTGCCCCTCGATCTGACGCCCGCGCAAGTGGGGGCCAGGCTGCGGATTCAGCCCTGTGGGGGGGCTGGCTCCATGCAGGGGTGGGGGCCTTGGGCCGCCGTCTGATAGGTGACTGTCTGCGTCGTCAGCCTGGTGTGCAGAGCCGTCCTGCTGTTCTGGGTCGGGGAACTTGGCGGGCTGTCGTCCGTCTCGGATTTCTTGTTGGCGTCATCGTCCCAGTCAATGCCTTCCACGTTGCCGTCGACGTTCAAGTGCTCTGGTGAGGAAGGCACCTCTTCGGGGGGCCCGTCGGGCAGGCCAGGCGCGTCGGGTTGCTGGGGGGAGGCGCTGGCGGAGGCCAGGGTGGCGTCGTGATCCTCGGCGCGTTGGTCGGTCGTGGGCAGTTCCGCCTTCTCCTGGGGCTTGTTGGGCCAGCTGGCAGCGGGCGACTCCTCTTCTGATCCTCTGGACACCGCATCCTGGGGTTCGGCGGCGAGGAGCTCAATTGTCCCTCTGGGAAGATCCTTCTCCAGCTCCGTGAGGAACTGCGTGAGGACGTGCATCGGCTGTCGGGAGGGGCACTGTCCTTTCTGGTTGTCAAGGTTGCTGGCGTAGTGCTCCCATTCCTTCTTGTACTTTGGGTTGCTGTCCACCAGGCGTGTGACAACCCTGGCCGCGGCAGCCCTCTTTCCGTCCCATGGGATGTGTGGGGGATGGCCATTGCTGGGGATCTCCTCTCCGTAGATTAAGTCCAGGAAGGGCAGCAATTGCTCGAAAGGCCATCCCGTTTCGTCGGTCACGTCGCCCACTATATCCTTCCCCAGTCGTTGCACATAGGCCTCCCAGGGGGTGTAGGATGTGTGGCTCCACTCAATCAGGTACCTCAAAGAGCGCGAACGGGGGCTCGCGACTCCTCCCCAGCCAGCCGGCGGGTGGAGTATGTGGGCAGCCGGGGTGCAGGGGGTGGCGGCTGGTTGGGAAAGAGGTAGGGGGTGGTGGCTCCGTCGGCCGAACCACTTTGCTCGTGGGCAGCGTGGGGCTGTGCTGCCTGGTCGTTGCCTGGTGGGACCAGTGTGCCAGTGCCTGTGGCCGAGGCTTGGTTGGCTGGGGAAAGGTGCGACGCCATGTCGTAGTTGCACAGGTCCTCGGGGATGTCGGTTGTGGTCTGTCGCACGGTGGGGGAGGCGGGGTACACCTCGTCGGAATAGCGGTCGAGTACCTGGTCGAGGACGCCCGGGGCGATGTTCCAAATGTGAACAAGGCACCTCCTGCAGGCCCCTGTAGCGTTCCACTTCCGCGTGACCCGTAAGAAAGGCATTGCGTCCCACGACGGGAGTCCTGTCTGCTCGTTGCAGTTGGCGTCCGCCTCTGGGCGCCATATGAAACATCCCAGGGCTGGACGGCCGGGCAACCATTCTAGCAAGGGGGAACCGGGGGGGGCAGGTGTCGCACGTGGCCGAGTACATTTGAGTGTGGTGCGTTTCTGCACCAAACCTGCCGTCGGAGAGCCTGTGTGGTGGGAGGGTGGTGCCGGCGCAGGCTGGCTGGAAGGGGCGCGGCGCCCGCATGACGAGGTCACTCAAGGATGTAGGGATCGAGGCCTCCTTGGGCCGCCCGAGCCCAAGCGGGAGTATGGACAGTGAGGGGAGGGTCCGAGCTCTCTTGCGCGCTCGTTCGTCGCCCGCTCTGCGTTTGTACTCCTGCAGCCGCTGCTGCATGGCCCTCTTGGTACTGCCTTCAGCCTGGTCGGGGTCAGGAATGTGGATTCCCATGCTTTCCAGGGAGCTGACCCAGCACATCTCACAGAGCCATCTGCAGTTCTTACCCTTCATGTATGCCTGCGCGCGGTTCTGGGCGAGCAGCTCACGGGTGTCATCATCCTCCCAGGTGCCGGCTGTTCCCTGTAGTCCCGTGTTGGTGCAGCCGTCGCCATTGTATCTGGTGTCCTTCTGTAGCCTGCAGAACCGCTCGTCCCGTACTGTCGGGGGGGAACGTGTTGTGCCAGCCTCCTATGTACTTCAGGTCCGACATGGTGCGCGGACTGCCTAGCCCCTCCTCTGATCCCGACAACGCTTTGTGCAGCGGGCAAATGGAGCAGTCTCCACTGCTTAGCTGGCCTACATTTGCCGGCTGGACAATCGCGTCCAGCACGCGCATGGGGGCCTCCAGGGTGAAGTCGTGCTTCTGCATTCCTGCCCATGTGCGAGGGCAATTGCGCTCCACTGCAATCTGGTGGTGATGAGCGAAGGTGGCCAGCATGCTGATGTGGCGAATGACGTACTCCAGAAGCGTCAATAATTATATAGCCTTCTTGGCGGCCTCCAGGCCCTTCTGAGAGGGCCCCACCGTGCCCGCGGCCGATCTGGCCTCTGGGTCCTAAGACTGGGTCGGGCGAGAGCCACAAAACATCAAACATCTTCAAAAATAGTACCAGATCGTCCCAAGACTACTTGTTTTAAAACCATATGAAAACATAGTACGAGATCGTCCCCAGACCATATGTCTTAAAGCCATGTTTGAATATTTCTCCTGTAGAGGGACACGCCCCTCTTAATCCCCAAACTCGAACCTCCGGCGGCCGCTCCGGGCGATCCGGGCAGCCCCCCGGAGCGCGACCTGCGAGGCGCCGCGGATGGACAGCACCCTGGGCCCCCCAAAAACCTCCAGGAGCCTGTTTTTTTAGACTCTGGCAAATTTACTTGCATGGACGGGGGGGGGGGGGGGGGGCTGAGCCTGAAGCAAGCCCGGGGGGGGGGGGCGCGGAAATCACGCAAGTCGAAAGGCGCTTGCACGCTGGTATTCGCTTGAAGAGGGGCGAGGGAGGGGGGGGGGGGGGGGGCGAACGCCATGCAAGTAAACTTGCCTGAATCCAAAGAAAAACAAGCTCCAGAAAAGAAACACCGAGCCCTTGGAAACCTCGCCCTCCCATTCTTGTCGGACGTGGGCAGAACTGGGCTTAGTGGGACCTAGCTTGTGTACTGGGGGACGACCCCCCCGCCCCGTTCCACGAACCGGAATTGCGATCACCCGAAAAAAAAACAAGCTACGGCAGACGTGGTTTAGCGATTCTGGCCAGTGTAGGGGCTCCAGGGCCCTACTACTCACCCGGTTCCCTTACCTGGGGTCCTGGCTATGCCCGATCTTGGCGGCGCGCCAGGGGGCGGGGGGAAGGGGAAGGGGAGGGAGGCTTTTTAGAAGGAGGCTGCTCCTTTGAAGGCGCCGGCCTTCCATCTGCAGACAAGGCCGGGGGCCTTCGAAGGAGCAGGGGTGCTTCCAAGGAGCCTCCCCCCCTCCCCCTCTGCCCCCCTCTGCGCGTGGGGGTGGCCTTCCCTTCCCCCCACCCCCTAATGCGGGATGACGATTAATAAAAAAATGGGGGAGAACGATGAAAAAAAAGTTGATTACGCCCACGCAGCTCCTCCTTGCTCAGGAACCCGAAGCGGCACATCAATGCCAAGATCGGGCCCCCGCCGTCCGGGTCCCAGTTCGGCGCGTACATCACCGCATGGTCGTACAGGAACGGGGACGACAAGTAGAAGTGCCCAGCCGTCATGGTCACCGAACGACGGATCGAATCTCCGACGATTTCTATGTTTCCCACTCTGGGCGTTTTTCTCCGATGTCGACCTCCGGGAACCGTGATCGGGGGCCCTGGGACCACGCAAAGTGGAGTCGGGACGCAAGACTTCCCCTGGGGAAGGGTTCGGGAGCTCTGGGAACGCGGATCGAAACACATCGTATCGAAGGATGTCTAATCGGGGGGCTCTTGGAAGCTGTTGCGGGAGGGAGAGAGCATCTGGGCCGACTTCAGACGTGGGCCAGGGAGTTCCTGGACCGGGGCGAGGACGAGGAGGAGGCGGAGGCAGGGGGTCTGAAGAAGGTACGGGAGTCGGGGAGGCGTGAGAATAGCCAGCCTCGAGTTCATCTCGATCCCTAAGACTGACAAGCCCACGGCGATGACAGTCCTGGGGATGTGCCCCCGGACATTGGGCGATTCCTTGAGATCGCGCCGAGATAAGGCGATGCCAAGCTGAGGGATACAGTGGACGCCAGTCCACAAGAAACCTTTCACAAGAAACCCAACCATGAGACGCCAGGACGTCCATTGACTTTTGGCGCGAGAGCGTCGCGCTTTCCAGAGCAAAACCATCGAAACCCAGGAAACCCGGGGCACCCTGGAGGCAAGCAGGGTGTTTCTTGGCATTGGCCTCCCCTGTAAGGATGTGCATCAGGCTGGAAAGAGCAGTTACGGTGGAGGAGCAGGTGGAGCACAAGGACCTTGGAGGTCCCCCTAGGGGCCTCCGCGCCTCCGGGAGGCCCCAAGAGGCCCAGGAACTACCAGACAGGCACAAGAGGAGCATGCACGGGCCCCGCCCAGGAGGTCCAGGAAGAAACCTCGGGGGGAGGGGGGGGGACACAAACTAGCACAACAGGAGGAGAAGCAGAGCCATGACCACCAAACCACCAGCACTCCTCCGTGACCCGGAGCCGGCCACAAAGGAAATACATGCAGGAGCAACAGACACGAACGCCGGTACCCGCAACCAAGCTGACCTTTGCCCACGGCTCCACCTGCCCCCTGGGAGGCTAACGATGGCAAGCGTTGTTGCATAGCGACGGTGAGAGAACGCTTGGGAAGATGAAAGACCCCAAGGGTCGGCGGTTTGGTGTACGTAAACGTTATAGTGATAGGACAAGGGACAAGTAGGAGCAGGAGGAGCAGGACGGGAAGAGCGGAAGAGCAGGAGAAGAGGAGGCACAGCGAGGGGGAACACGGGAAGAGCAGGAGAGGCGGAGAGGGGAGGAGCAGCAGGGGAAGAGGGGAATGGCGAAGGGGAAGAAGGGGCAGGAGCAGGAGAAGGAGGAGGAGGAGGAGGAGGAGGAGCGGGAAGAGCGGGACGAGGGGCGGAGGAACAGGGTCAAGAGAGGAGGACCGCGCGGTGCCCGCTGGCGTGGAACTCCAGCCTGCGCCGCCCGCCGAGCGTGATGCCCAGGTGCAGGAGGCCAGTGGCGCCGTCCTCGGGAGGCCGCCCAAGGAAACGATTGCGGCAGTGCGGGCAATAGTTATATCCACATCCAGTGCGTGTTGGAGTTTTGGACTCACTTCCCCAGAAACTGGAGGCGCACTGGATACGGATAAAGATCTGGCCCCAAAAAGCTAAATGTTTATCCATATCCAGTGCGAGCCCTTGCGGCACCCCTTCCCCAAAAGTCCAAGACGCTCTGGATACGAATATAAAAGATTACCCGCAGGTAGGTCCGCCTCGCTCCCGAGCTGAAATGGATCTTGAGCTCGAGCCTGGTCGAGCGCCTGGCGCCGCGCGCTTCGATGGCGGCCAGATCTGAATCATGCGTTCCGGCATCTCGAGCTTTAGATCCAGGTCGGCTCGAGCGGGACTCTGACGCCACGGACGGCCTGATTCACAATGCAATATATAGATATATCTATATATATATAGAGAGAGAGAGAGAGAGAGAGAGAGAGAGAGAGAGAGAGCACAGCGCTCCTACGCGGCGTGGCGCGTCCTAGTGTATCACAGCGTGGCCCCTGGCACTGTGCACCTCCACCGCTATCCCGAGCACTGCAAAGGCCCGTCGCCCGAGATCGGTGCCCTGAGCAATCCCCACGGCTTCCTCACACCTCCAGCTTCCCTCTTCTGGGTCAGTGTGGGTCGATGACGCCCACTGCCCCGGGGCCCGAGAGCGGCCCCTCGGAGGCCGCAGCGGGCCCCAACAAAAAAAACCTCGAGCCCAGCACCTCGGACCCCTTCTCCGCCACTTCCCCCCCCCCTCTTCCGGGGGACACCAAGACGCACCGATGCCGCTGCTCCCCAGACCTCTCCCCGTGTGCGTTCTGACCAAGACGCCGGGGCGAATCCGGCGGTGGCGCCGAGGGCCTCTCGGGAGGCCCAGACAAGGGAGAGAACACGGGCGAAGGGCAGGGGGGGCCCTTCCCTCCTCGGACTTCCTGCCCGCCAGAGCGGAGATGCGGAGCCACCTCAGACCCCCAGCCGGCTCCAAGCCCGGGCCGGCCTCCGCCGTCCTTCCGCCGGCGGCCAGGCGCGCCGAGGGCGCGGCCCCCCCTCCCTGATGGTCCGCTACCGAAAATTTCCGGTAGCGCTCCGCAGAGATCGGTCGCTACCGAAATACCGAAATGTAGCGCCCAATACCGGTATCAGAGCGTTCTGAAATCCGCTATTTCAACGCCCTCAAACGAAGATCCGGTCGCTACCGAAATTCGGGGTGCGTCGAAATCGCTACCGAAAATTTCCGGCACCAGACCATCTGGGCCTCCTCTGCCCGCGCTCAACCGGCGCCGCACGGGCGGCCCGGGTCGATGGGGCAGAGGCCCCAAGAAGCCCAGATCGTCGATTGGATTTGGCCTTCTCGCGCGCTCGGCGCTCCAAGACCGCTGAGTAATAACCTCCCAAGGCCGCCTCAAGACAACCCAAAAGACGCCTACCAAAGGGCCCATAAGACGGCCGAAGGGGGCTCAAAAAGATGGCCCAAGATGCGCTCCCGACGTCCCCCAAGGGCCCCAGGGCGGCTGGAGTGCCACCTGGGGCCTGCTCCGCATCATCGGTTGCGTCGCAGCGCAGCCAAAGGCAGTCCGCGCGCGCGCTCGAGCAGCCCGAGCGAGGAGGAGGAGGAGGAGGAGGAGGAGGAGGAGGAGGAGGAGGAGGAGGCAGACAACGCGAATCAACCGGCGGCGAGGAGGAGGAACAAGAAGGCGGAGCGTCCGAGGCCTCCCCTCGGGCGAATCGCGGGGGGGGGGGGGCGCTCGCCAAATGGAAACACGCGGCGGCGGCACCGGTGATTAGCGCCGACGCCCGACGCCAGCGAGAGGGCGACAATGAAGGGGCCCCAGGACACACAAATAAATACACACAAATAAAAATATTCCCCATATTTTCCCATATTTTCTGGGTTTCTGTCTTCCCCCCCACTGCCCATATTTTCCCATATTTTCTGGGGAATCGAGGATTAATTGTGTCTGTGTGTTTCTTTTCCTCCTGAGACAAGCGCGACGCAAGCGGTGCCGCTTCAGCGGAAAGGGGACAGCAGCTCAGCGGCCAATGCGGGACGCTTGGGCCAAAATGGTTATACGCAGCAATGAAAGAAGAGGCGGGAGGAGAAGGCGCCTCAGCTGGCGGGCGGTGCCGACATGGCTGCAACCAGCATTGGCCAGAGGGGGGGATGAGTCGCAGATGCAAGCGGAAAGGGGATCCTCCTTCTCTTTCTCTCACCCTCCTGTACAACATGTCGTGCGACGACGACGATGACGAAGACGACAACGACGATGCCAACGACAATGACGCCGACGACAACGGCGACGGCAAAGGCGCCGGCAACGACCGCTGTAATCGCCGACGACGACGACAACGACGACGACGACGACGACGACGCCGACGACGATGACCGCCGTCGTCGACGACGACGACGATAGGCGGATGCCCTGTGGGTGAGACCGCCCGCCCAGCTGTAGTTGACGACGACGACGACGACGTCGGCAAAGGCGACCGACGTCGTCGACGACGACGCCGACGACGGCGACGACACCGACCGCCGTCGTCGTCGTCGCCGACGACGACGACGCCGACGACGACGACGACGACGACAGCGACCGCCGTCGTCGACGCCGACGACGACGACGACGCACTGCGGGTGCCCTTTGGGTGGGACGGCCCGGCCAGCTGTAGTTGACGACGACGACGACGACGACGACGGCAAAGGCGACCGACGACGATGATGAAGACGACACTGACGACGACGTCGACGACGACGACGACGGATGCTGTCGACGACGACGGGGACGTCGACGACTCGACGACTCGACGACGACGACGACGACGACGACGACGACTGGTGTGGAAAACTTCTATACGAAAAACCATCAGTTTAAAGGCTGTCGTGCGGGGGTGCACGATTCCCTCGGCGGCGCCCGCGACGGCCCCCTGGCGCGCGTGCTTTTAAAAAAAGGATGCTTCGCGCCCCGCGGGGTCCCGTTCAGCAGCCCGGGGGGGGATCACTTAGTGATCACAAGCTGGCATTCGGGGCTGATCCGCTGAGGGGGGGGAGACACCGAGCTTGAATCGGCGATACACTGACGATGGATCGGCGCTAGGCCCCCGCTGGCAAAACCGAAGGTTCCTGGCCTGGGTGGGCTGTCGGGCCCCTATCGGCGATCGATGGGCGACTTGGGTCGATGTGTCCCCCCCCGAGCAATTCAAGTACCCCTAACCCTTTGGGAGAGGACCTGAGTTAGGAGGGCCAGAAAATATTAGAGGTAGGGTGTCTTTTGGGCAGACGTTTCAAACCAAGCCGCCCAAATCTGTCATCCCCAATGCGAAGACGGGAACCTCAGTGAGGCCACGTCTCCATCGTGTTATCAGGGTTAGGGGTTCTCTTGATCTCGATGAGATCAAGAGGCGGAGGAAGGCAGGATGAGGAGGAGGAGAAGGGAGGAGGAGGAGGAGGAGGGGAGGAGGAGGAGGAGGATGAGGAGGAGGAGGAGGAGGGGGAGGAGGAGGAGGAGGAGGAGGAGGAGGAGGAGGAGGAGGAGGAGGAGGAGGGTCCTTGTGCCAGCGCATGTCCTTGTCCCCGAAGGCCGGGCCCGCCTGCGCCTCCACGGCGGCGAAGTGCCCGCGGCCCCGCAGCGCCCCGAGCAGCAGGTCCAGCAGGCGCTGCCTGCCGGCGGGCGCCTCCCGGTCCTGCTCCTGCGCCTGCTCCTCCTCCTCCTCCTCCCTCGACGTCGTTGCCAACGGGGAGGTGCTGGGGGATCCGGCACCGAGGAGGAGGAGGAGGACCGAAGGCAGCAGGACCGAGGAGGAGGAGGACCGAGGATAGGAGGAGGCCGTCCCTGGCCGTCCCCAGACCCCCTCGCGTTTTTTGACACAAATCAATAATGCAGGATGACGATTAACAAACCAAAGATGAGAAAGAGAGAGAGAGAGAGAGAGAGAACGATGAAAAACATAGTCTTCTGCTATTTCTGCACAGCTTTCTGACGGGAGGAGAAAGGTTAAGAAAAAACAGTTTTCCAGCCCGCGGTCGGTTTTGTTCTAATCGTCATCCCGGGCGCCGCCGCGTGAACACGACCCCCGGTCATTTATTAATCGTCATCCTCCATTACGGGAGGTTTTTCACCATTTTCGGCCCCTGGGGGCCCTTACCGGCCCTCGGGGGACCGTCAGAAAACGGCTCGGGATGAAAAAGTCGGTCCCGGGGGTAGGGACCTCCGGGGGTCGACGTAGTGAAAAAATCATGACGTCGGGGGTCTGGGTCTGGCGGGGGCCCAGGGCGCGTCGATGAGCCAGATTGAGGTCTGGCCTGTCCCCCTGCAAGGGGATTCTGGACGAATAATTTAAAACATCTCCCAAAACATGCCCCCAAAAAATGATCCAAAATAGTTCACAAATCGTCCCCATGCTGTTTTTTGTGACCATTTTTGAATTTTCCTCCTGTAGAGGGACAGGCCCGACTTAAAACCAGAAGGCATCAGCCGGGCGCGCAAACATGGACTAGCGATCCATGGATTTGGCGCGTGGTCGCCAAATCCATGGATCGGGGAGGTGCCCTCCCCAACGTGCGGCTGGTGCCACCTCGTTCGGAGGCGGAAATCCGCGACTTCCCATGGAAACGGGACCCGTCGCGGGGGCCCATAGGGGAACGAACAATGACATAACATAAGAACTCAGAGGTCCGCGCGGATTTCTCGGATCGGCGCTGGGGCCCCCTGGCGGCGCCGGAGGCGCCGCCCCTGGCGCGCTCCGCGCGCCAAGGAGGGGGGTCCAGCGCGGATCCGAGAAATCCGCGCGGACCTCCGAGTTCTTATGTTTATGTCATTGTTCGTTCCCCTAGCCCAGAGCGCGTCGAAGAACTATATACGGCATCCGCCAGCTCCCGCTTGCTGGGGGTGCGAAGGCGTGTGAGATGATCGGCTGTCGCCGCTCCCCCTTTCTTCCCTCCCGCAGGGTCCAAAACCTTGCTGAATCCGGCGGCGACGATAGGGGCGAATAGCCCAGGGTCGGACATTACGCGTATTCGCCCGGGAGCCTTTTCGAAGACACAGATCATCGGCGCACATGACTACATGTATTGCTCGCCCCTGGGCTATTCGCCCATATCGTCGCCTCCGATTAAGGAGGGGGGGGTATCAGGGCTCCCCTGCGCACCCGTGGAGACTCCGGAGCTTCCTTCCGTGGCCTCGCGAAGACGTTCCAAGACGGTCCTGGATCGCCGACCGACTGGCCCAAGACGCCGAATTACGATTTAGCTCCAAGACACCCCAGCAGAGGCCCAGGAGCCTTCCCCAGAGAGCCCCGAAAGGCAACAATCAATGGTTTTCTCAAGGCTTTTCATTGTTTCTGGGGTTATCGTCGGCTTCCGACGCTCCGCGACTGCCCAAGAGGCTCCGTAGACCGCCCCAAAACTGCCCAAGGGGACCCTGCGAGGGCCCCACCCAGAGCGGCCCAAGAGGGTTCCAAGACGGCCCAAAGAGGGGCCAAGGTGGCCAAAGACTGCCCCAAGAAGGCCCCGAGAGAGACCAAGAGGGAGAGCACGAACCACGAACCGAAAATCCTGTCTTTCCGCCCTGAGGGCCCCCTCAAAGACCCCAAGAGGCCCCAGAGCGGCCCCATAGAGCCCACAACGAGCCCCACGAGGGCCCCAAGAGGTCCAAAAGAGGCCTCGAACCGATCCCGAGGACGCTTCAAAAAGCTGCCTCCAAGAGGCTCCACCAGGCCCCCAAACAGCTCACAATACGCCCACAAGGGTCCCCAAATAGTGCCCAAGAAGCCCACGAAGCCTTAACCGTGGACTCCCCGCCTCTTCTGGGGGTCGGCGGAATGGCGTAAACCTTTCGAATAAATAGAAACTTCGGAGGTGCCACAATCTGCATTTATGCAATTTCTTGTTGCTCTTCGACACCCCTCCTCCCCCCATCGCCCCCTCACTCTCCTCTTGCCGTGAAGGTTATGCCCATGCCATTTGTTGTTCTTCGAGCGTGGCAGCAACATTGCGACAAATCACAGCACCGCGGCTGGGGCCCCAGGACCCTACCTTTCTGCTGGAGTCTTCAAGCCAGAGCGATCCACGATGGTCCTGGGCCCGAAACCCAGCGACTGCAACGCCAGGATCTCAAGGTCCGCCCCACCCCGCTTTGCCGCGCCGCCAGGCCTATCCCGATCGGTCTTCCCGGTCTCCTTCAGCCGCTCCAGCCCGTCCTCTTGACACGCACAATATATGCGCACGGAGAGGCTGGGCACGCTACCCTACAGCGAATGGCAGTCAAAACCAACAGCGGCTGTTGTTGGGGCGGCGATGTCTGCCTCAAAAAAAAACGCGGCGAAAATAACACCGAGTCCTGCTCAATATGGGAAGGAATTGCTGTCAGTCTTCGTCCCATGCCTTTGGCGACGCGCACAGGGGGGCGGGGGGGGGGGGGGGAAGCTTCTTAAAAGGAGGCTGACCCTTGGAACGCGCCGGCCTCCCACACCTACAGATAAGGCCCGCGCCTCCTAAAAAGCAGGGGTGCCTCTGAGAAGCCTTCCCCCTCCCCCATGCCCCACTTGTGCGCGTGGCTGACACTGTGTGATCCCAGACCCCCGACGTCGTGCTTTCTTCACAACGTTGACCCCCAGAGGTATGGACCCCTTCCCTAGGACCGGCATTTCATACTGAGTCGTTTTTAGACGGCCCTGGGGCCCAGCAAGGACCCCCCGGAGGCCGAAAATCGTGGAAAACCTCTCGTCGTGATCCTCCCCAGTATCAGTGCTTGCACTGCAGGGGTCCAAGCAAGTATTGAAAGATTTGGCGAAAATTTCCCCCCGATTTTGGTGGCCGGCTAGGTTCCCGGACTCCCGGTTCCGGGCTCCCTGGTTCCTGGTTATTGGTTCTGGGCCGATTTCGGTGGGTTCTGGGTTCCCGGTTCGAAGATTTGGTCTTTGCAAGGTCTTTTAAAGTTTTTGCATGGTCTTTGCAGGGGAGCTTTGCATGGTCCTTGCAAGGTCCTTGCAGGGGGGCGGTGCAGTCGCCTGTCCGCGTCCCGCGGAGGGGGGTCCTTTCGAAGACGACAGAAACCCTCCCAGTCAGCGCTTGGGCACATCATCCGTTTCCACGACGGACCCCGTTTAGCCAAACCGTAACCAAATCGTAACCAAATCGCAACCAGATGGAAACGTAACCAAATCGTAACCAAATTTTATACAGCTTGACCAAATCGTAACCAAATTTGCATAACGAAATCATAACCAAATCACACATCGTAATCAAATTGCGCGCAACCAAATCAAAACAGTGCACCCCTCTCATACGAACTTGGCTCAACAAGAAGCCGATTTGCGTACGCACGTGCACGCAGCAAACCATTGTAAACTACAATACTTTGGGCGCGTGGCTTGGTTACGATGTCTGGTCTTCTAGGGTATCTCTGGATCGATCCCATGTCAAACCATCCATCCGATTGGGGCCTTTTTCCTCTGGCGTCAGTGTGACCTCCCTCTGCGCGGGGCCGCACTCCTTCCCTGCTCGTTGCGGCCGTGCCCCGTTCGGGAGCGGCCGAGAGGGGGGTGTCCAAGAGGGGGGGGTGCAAATCATGACCGGCGGCATGTGCGCGGCCTAGCGGGGGGGCCTGGGACGTAATGAAATGAGAAGAGGCGCTATGAAATCTGGGGAAATATCATGGCCCGCGCCATGAAATCCCCCCCCCCCCTAGTCATCACCCCCCTCTTTTCCGCTCCCGATGCATCCGAGCGGGAAGCAGAGAGGTCCTGGAGAGAGGTGGGCCAAGCCGTGTTCGGGGCCCTGGGCCCCCCGCGGGCCCCCAGTGAGGAGGAGGAGAAGGAGGAGGAGGAGGAGGAGGAGGAGGAGGGGGAGGAGGGGGAGGAGGGGGAGGAGGGGGAGGAGGGGGAGGAGGGGGACCCGTCCTCCATCGCGGCCCAGCAGGCGGCGTTGCAGTCCCGGAATGCCTCCAGCAGGGCCACGAGGCGGGGCGGCGCCCGCGCGGCGGGCTGCACGCTCGGGTGGTGCTATAGGGAAGTGCCCCTGGCCATATATAGGTCGGGCATGCCCCCCTACAGGCGGATATCCAGCGAAACATGTAAAATTGACAGAGCATATGCAAAACATAGTCAAACATGGCAGCGGAGAAAAAAAAACAATCATAATCTTTTTAGGCCCGTACAGTCGGGGCGTTGACCTAAGGAACCCTAAACAAGGAACGAGCACGTTTCATATAGGTCGGGCACGTCTCCCTACAGGCAGACAGACAGACAGACAGGCCATGCACCAGGCGGTGCGTGGGCGTGAGCACAGGTGGAGAAACAGCGCACTCCTATTCGGACAGCAGGGCGGGCCGACAGAGGAACGCGGGCAGGGCAAGGAACCGGGGGCCGAAGGGAGAGCGAGGAGCCGAGGAGCGAGCGGGGGATAGGGCGGAGGGAGGACGACAGGAAAGGGCATGTCCCCTACAGGCGGATGTTCCGCGAAAAATCTAAAATAGCCACAACATATGCACACATAGTCAAACATGATACCGGAGAGAAACCCCAATCATAATCTTTTTAGGCCCGTACAGTCGGGGCGTTGACCTAAGGAACCCTAAATAAGGAACGAGGCCCCTTTTTTCCATACCCTAAACTTCGATGTCCGATCGAAAACATAAGGAAAACCTCAGGCAAGCTGCGAAACACATAAGGAACGCGGAGCCCCTCCCCAACGAAAAGGGTTCCTTCTTCAGGGCCCCGACTGTAGGGCTGTAGGGCTGTAGGGGTATAGGGCTATAGGGATATAGGGCTATAGGGCTACAGGGCTATATGGGCTATATGGGCTAGTGGGCTAGTGGGCTATAAGGCTATATAGGGCAGCCCTGGGCACCCGGGCACCTCCAGGCACGCCCGGGCACCCGGGCACCCGGCCACGCCCGGGCCCCCGGGCACCCGGGCGTGCGGCAAAAATCGGCGGCAAACCTAACCTAACCATATGAATCCGATTGGACCCCTACAGAGGGAAGCTCTGATTGGGGAATATTAGAAAATTCATCCCCTGATTATTTTTTGACTATTTGTACGATTCTAAATAATTTCTACTGTAGAGGGACACGCCCGACTTGACCCTGGCCCGAGGTGCCCAAGGATTCTCGGGTGGGCCCAGACGGCCTCTGGAGCACCCCTCACGGGACCCAGAGGGCCCCAAGTTAGGAGGTAACTACTGGGAGGTCTTCGTCGAAGAATTAGAAAGGATTAAGCCCCATTCGGGGGCTACTGCGCCGGAGTGGGCCTCGGATTTCAGCGGAGCGGGATTAAACCCGATTTAGCGGGAATCAGCGGGATAAGCCGGGTAAAACGGGGTCGAGCCGGATTTCGGACCAGGGCAAAATCAGTATTTGACCTTCCATGAATTGCATCCGAACCCAGGGGCTCCAGCATGGAGCGGAAAGCTGGGGGCCCCTTGGGCCAGGGGGGGGCTTCTTGCAGCACCCGACATGTTGTCGTTGCGCGGGATGAAGAGGCTCTTCTTGTCCCCCCAGGCGTGCACGCTGTGCCAGTCCGCCTTCAGCAGGAACGGCTCCCTCCGCGATAGGTGGAAGCCCCACCTTGGGATCGGGAGGCTATTTCTGGGACGCAGCTACAACCGAGGGCTAAGAAGCCCGATTCGTGCGCAACTGGAAAGGATAGGCCCGGATTGAGCCCGGGACCAAGCCGCATTAAACCAGGCAAGGCAGGTCTTCCTCCTCCTCCTCCTCCTCCTCCTCCTTCTCCTCCTCCTCCTCCTCCTCCTCCTCCCCCTCCTGCTCC